TTGAAAAAAAATTCTTGCTGAGCCAGTCAGATATCTTTCAGCATGTACACAATTTCTCTGACTAATGTGTAACCTTTAATTTGACCCTGAGTTGCTATTACTGTATAACTTAACAAAAGAAAAAACTTATTTATTTATTTATTCATTGTATTTTTACCCCGCCTATCTGGTTAGATGACCACTCTAGGTGGCTTTTTTTGCTGTGCAACTGTAACTGTTAATTACTTTTATAATCAGAGGGAGTCTACCTTCACTAAATAGTGGAGAAGGCTTATTGTGTAGTTGAAATAACAGCTTTTGCTGTGCCTTCTGATCTGAAATGGATGCTGAAAATATTTCAGTATCTTTGGTAACTCCTTGAGGGACGTGGTGGCGCTGTGGACTAAACCGCAGAAGCCTGTGCTGCAGGGTCAGAAGACCAGCAGTCGTAAGATCGAATCCACGCGACGGAGTGAGCGCCCGTCGCTTTGTCCCAGCTCCTCGCCAACCTAGCGGTTCGAAAGCATGTAAAATGCAAAAATGCGAGTAGATAAATAGGGACCACTTCGGTGGCAAGGTAACAACGTTCCGTATCTAAGTCGCACTGGCCATGTGACCACTAAATGATTGTCTTCGAACAAATGCTGGCTCTATGGCTTGGAAACGGGGATGAGCACCGCCCCCTAGAGGCGAACACGACTGGACAAAAATTGTCAAGGGGAACCTTTACCTTTTACCTTTGGTAACTCCTAGGGAGTGACCATGCTAGCTGGAGTATTCTACAAGTTATTGTCTTAAAAACTCTTCCAATGTTGCTCCAGCTTTGTTTCTCAGTTGCTCATAAAACCGCAGCATAAAAAGCTGCAAATGGCCCTGCCTTTTCTGTGTTTTCAGCCTGGATTTTAAAAATTATATGCTGTTTTTATTGTTATACAACTTATGTTGTGATTATTGGGGTTCTTTTGGGGGGTGTTCAGCACCTTCCTTGATGCATTTTAGAAAGGCAGCATAGAACAATTTTAAATTAACAAACAAACAAACAAACAACAAAGCAAAAATAGAAAACATAACTCACATTTCTGCTGCTATAGAAACTCAACAGGAAGCATACCTCAATATTAAAAAAGCAGGAGGCATAGAAATGAAATAATGTTTAGAAGAAGCAGGATGCAGCTAAAATTCATAAAGATAATGTGACAATTATTAGAGGTACAGTATTTGAGAAATCATGGGGTAGTAGTCAGAATAGGGACTGGAGAAGCTCAGGCTGAAATTCCCCGTCAGCCAGGAAAGTTGTCAGTCACCATCTTTTTGCCTCACCTACACAGACAAGTTGTGAAGTTAAAAATGGGTGGGTCGGTGGGTGGCAGGGAGAAAGCATGCACGCCGCCATGAGCTCTGTGGAGGACAGGTGATATATAAACAAAACAAATAAATATGCTATATTTCCTCAGTATAGCAGGGGGCAGGATCCAGTGCTGGATGTCTGCTGATGAAACAGTGAAATCAGGTGGAAACTAGAGAAAGCAATTACTCCTTCCTCTTGCAGCGCATCCCTACCCACCCACTCCTGTTTCGTATGCAAACAAACCCTGCTATGGAGGACTGGGGAGCCCTCTGGACCTGATGACTGGGCAGTTCAAAGAGGAGTTTTGCATGGATCGCGTAGCACCAGCACCTTGTTGGCTGTAGGACAGGAATCACTGTACATACAAGTGCTTTCATTGTTTGTTTTGTATCTGTTTGTTTAAAAGGAGTGGCTCTAAATGAGCTGCAATTGTTCAGGACCTTTGAAACATGGCTTGGAACACTTATTTTTGGGGAACATATTTCCCAGAATTTTCCAGCAAGTTTTTGGAAGTACCTTTTCTAAGCTCTTTGTTGAAAAGATTGCCAACAAACCTATCTAGATTTGGCGTGCCCCTCCCTACCTGTAGGAATCATTCTCCACTGACTTCTGCAAATAAGCTTCCTTTCTTCCATTTCCCTTTGAATGCCTTCTACTTTTCTGCATGAGACAAGGAACCTCACTTCTTTCTATGAAAGTGAAAC